AAAAATTTCAATAAAAATAGAAACATAAGAATTAGGGTAGAATTAGAAAATGCTAAATACACCAATATTTTAAAAAAAAGAAAATATATATTTTTAATATTTTGATTTTTTTTTTTTTTATAAAATATTTTTACTTTTTTGTTTTTATTTCCTTTTTTTTATAATTATCAACAACACTTTTTTTTATTATCTTTGACTGGTTTTGCATTTAAATTAATATTTGCCTTTCCTTTTTGTTGATTTTCTAAATGAGATTTATTTTTTATCTCGTAAGCCATCGTTTTGAATGCCTGTTCAACATTATGAGCTATTTTAGCTGATGTTTCTAAAAATTGGATATTGCAACTATCAGCTAATTCTTTCCCTTCTTCATAACTTACATTTCTATCATTTTTTAAATCTATTTTGTTTCCAATTAATATTTTTTGAACATCTTCAGAAGCATACCTTTTGAAAATAAAGACAAAGAAAAAAAAGTGTATAAGCATACATATATATGATAAATAATAATAAAAAAAAAAAAAAAAAAAAATACAATGAAATAATAAAATAAGTTTATAAAAAAAAAATTGTAATATTCTTATTTATTCAATATATATATATATATATATATATATATATATATATATATATATATATATATATATATTTTTTTTAACTTTTCTATTTCAATTATCCAATTTTTGACATTATTAAAACTGTCTCTATCAGTTACGTCATAAACAATTATTATTCCTAATAAATTCAAAAATAATTATATAAATATATATAAAACATTAATTTTATATATTTATTATTTTATCTCATCAAATAATTATTTTATAAAAAAAAACCTTGAGCTCCTCTATAATATGATGACGTTATTGTTCGAAATCTCTCTTGACCTGCTGTATCCCACTATAATTTTACAAAATTTAAAGAAATTTTTATTTTTTATTATAATTATATATAATTATATATATATATATTTTATTATAATTATATATATATTATTACTATTTGTAATTTTATAATTTTATCATCAATTTCTATAGTTTTAATTTTGAAATCAACTCCTATTGTGCTAATGTAACTATCTGTATAAGTATCATCCTAAAAAAAAAATAATACATAAATATTGATAAGAAAAATTATTATGTTAATAAAAAAGATACATAAAAATATATAATATAAAAAATAAAAAAAAGTAAAATAAAATAATAATTCAATCCTTATATTAATTTTAAAATATCTCATCTTTTCATATATATATATATATATTATTATATAACATTTATTTTTATATTAAAAAATTAACATGTTTACATAAAATTATTTATATAATTAATTATAATTCTCTATTTTAACATTTTCTGTAATTTTATATCTTTTTTTTTTTTTTTTTTTTAATTAATTCTTATTTATCATTAGCAAACAATATTATTCTTTCATAATTACACATATCATATATTTATTTTTTTTTTTTTTTTTTATCAATTTATTTTTATTATATTTTTGTTACAGCAAAACGAAGGAGTAAACAAGACTTTCCAACACCACTATCTCCAATCAATAAAATTTTAAATAAGCTATCACTAAAGAAAAAAAAAATAAAAAATATACATATATATATACATATATATAATAAATATATATATACATACATATATATATATATATATACATATATATATATAACAAAGCAACTAATAGTAATAAATGTGTATAATATATATATATATTTTAAAATATTTTATATATCATATTGTGAAAACATACTAGCTATCATTCATTTTGAATACCAAAAGTTTCTATAATAATAATAATAAACAAAAAAAAAAAAAAAATAAAATAAAATAAAATAAAAAAACCAATTGTCAAATATTAGAATTAATGCTAAATAAAATGAAAAAAAAAAAAAAAAAAAAAAAAAAAAAAAAAAAAAAAAAAAAAAAAAAAAAAAAAAAAGAAAAATGAAAAATGAAAAATGAAAAAATATAAATAAAATAAAATTTAAAATAACTAAAAAAATAAAATAAGAAAAAAAAGATAATAGAATATTAAAAATAAAAAAATATTTATTTATCTCTATAAAAATTATATGTGTATTTATATATTCATATTATATACATATATAAAAAAAAATAAAAAAATTATTATCATTACTAACATGTTAATTAAAAAAAAGAAAAATTTAATTTGTTGATATAAATATTTTAAAAATAATTTAAAAAAAATATATATATAAAAGTATAAATGTTGCAGATTTACACGGATAATATTTTTTTTTTTTTTTTTTTTTACGTGTACAAAAAAATAAATATAAAAAATATATATAAAATAAAAAAATGAAATAAAATTTTATATATTTATAAATATAAAGAGAGTTATATTTCAATATGTATTTATGTATTTTAAAAATATTTTCTTTATATAATGCAATTATGCTTATTAAATTTAACTAATATTACTTTTTTGTACACTTTTTTGTTATATTTACAAAGGAATTGTAAAATATAATTATCTGAAATACACTTTAATATTAGATTGTCATATAAATATATTTATTTGTATATATTTTAAAGAGAAAAAAAAAAATATATATATATATATGTATATATATATATATATATATATTTAAAAATATATTAAATTGATTAAAGGTGAAAGTTCATATATATATATATAATTATATACATATATTTATATATATATATATTTATATATATATTAAAGAAAAAAAAATTTTTTTTTTTTTTTTTTTGTGTTGTGTAACAAGTATAAATGGGTGACAAAACAAATAGTATTAAAACTAATTAAATATATATATTTAATTTTATAATATTTCATTTAAGTAATTTTTCATTAATAATTAAGAATAAAATATAATTAAATGATAAATTAAATTATATTTATATGACAACATAAATGTATTTTTTTCATTCCTTTTTATATTAAAAAATTTATTTGTATAATAAAAAGAAAAAATTGTTAAAATTAGAAAATAATATATATATATTTATATATATATATATATATATATATATATATATATATATATATATATGAATTTACTATTAAAAAAAAAAAAAAAATTTAATAAATAATTTAGATTAAAAGATATATATATTCTAATAAATTTTTGAGGCAATTTTTCTTTTTTTTTTTTTGAAAAAATGAATAATTATAGACAAATAAAAAAAAAAAGAAAAATGAAAATATAAAATAATTGCAATTTTTTTTTTTTTATTTTTCTTATTCTTAATTCATATATTAAAAGAATATTTTTTGTAATAAAATGGAATTAAATGAGACAAATAAATTAAATGATAAGAAAAAAAAGAATAGATTATGTGGGAAACTAATTTATTCTATTCGTGATCTATTTATGCTAACATATGTAAATTCTTTGTTACCTATACATAATAATGTTAGAAAAATGAAAATATAAATTAGAAAGAAAAATTTTTAATTTTATTATCCTTTTTATTGTAAAATATTTGATTCTATTACACTTTTTTTTTTTTTTTTTTTTTTTTTAATTA